GAGCAAGATCTCGTTGGCAGCACACACCCGGACCGATGCTGCGAAAAACACACTCAGAACACGTGCCATAGCTTCAGGCTGGTCTGGCAAGCGGATCTGACACTGAAAACCTTGAGACGGAAATGCCGCACGGCGCGCAAGACCGAGTGAAGTCCATTGAAGTCCCATGACGGTCGTGTCTGCAACCTTGGAAAAGGCCTTGGCTTGCCAGGCAGGTCCCGCGGTCCTTGTTTCCCCCGGTGGCTCCACTGACCACTGGCCTCGGCCCCGACTTCTCTGACGAACGCACAGCCCAGGAAACCGTGCAACCGTGCGACGCTTCTCAAATGTGAACCGGTTGCATGCACTGGTTGAATCTTGAGCACGACAGCTACATGCTGGACTTCTCCGCTTTGCAGGGAACAGCATGCTTCCTTTGGTGTGCTGGGCCGGGTGCGTCTGGAGCACCATGAGAAGGCCAAAAGGGGTTAGCAGCCCGCGTGCTGCATGGAAGGCGTATCCCCACCTGTGCGATCCGCAGAGTCTCTGCATCTCCACTCTTTGCCTCGTGGGACCTGTGTTGGATGTGATGTGAGATGCTTATGGGATAGTCAGCGGTAGACCGTGGCTCGGTTCACGAAGGGTCATGAAGAAGTGTAATGCAGGTGGGGTCATGACAACGATCTAGCAGAGCAAAGCTGAGCTATCAGCTATCTTCTCCAACCCTCCTGAAATACCATGAATGCTTACACGAACGAGATTCACATGCGGCTGCGGTTGATCACCTCACGCATGAGGCCATCAAGGTTATCAGGGATCGCCAAGAGCTAAGGAAGCAGCATAGAGGAGCCGCCACAGCGCATCATGATCCCACCTTGTTCAGTGGGTGCTGGGGCTTGCATGCACTTGGCATGAGAGCGTTCAAAGCGTTTGGTTGTGCGGCGGCTTCGATATGGAAGAGCATGTTGTGAAAGCAGTCCGGTTTACAGAGCCCAAGAGTTGGGAATCATGGCAACAATTCAAGACAAATCAAGAGATCGAATGTAATCATCAACTTTCGAGAGGGTGTACCAACTTTCAGGCAGATTGGTCTTGTTTCCATGCTGCCAACATAATCACCCCGAATCACAAGAACCAAACAGGTAGTTAGCAGTTTATACAGGTCCATTCCGACGCAGCCTCCACGCACAGACAAATTCAATGGAGCCTAAGCCCGCAGCCAATTGCCATAATGACGCAGCTGGGAAGGACAATCGCCTTCACCATCTGGCCCTCAGACGTGCCCTGCATCAGCACTGCAAAGATCCACCTGCTGCAAAGTCAGTCGATGGCCTCATCTCCGAAGGTTTCAGAGATTGTCTCGGGATGAGTCTTCATGAAGGCCTCGGCATCGTGGCACGATGACCGCGAGGCTGCTCAGGCGGCTCGGTTTGCAAGCAGCTGCCATGTCTGTGCTTGGCTCGACACTGGTCTCGAACATGTTTTCGTTAGGATTTTGCTGTTGTTCCTTGGGCTTCGTATTTTTCCCGTCCCAGAGCATCTGCAATTCTGCACCTGTGGCCAGCTGGAAATTCTCCTTTGAACTCACGTTATTCACTCTTTTCTTCACACTTTGCCTAACTCC